CTCCTCCTCCTCCTCCCCCTCCTCGCCCTCCTGCTCCTCCTCCTTTTCTTTCTCCATAGTATCCTTACATCCTCTCTTCTTCCGCGTCTTCCTCGTCCCCTGTTTTTTCCTCCTGCCTCCCCCTCCTTTCCCGAGATAACTGCAACGCAATCCTTTTTTTTCACTTTATGCTCCCCGACTTCTCTGATCAACGCAATTCGCCAAGGCAAAGTTGCTGGACGGGCTGATGTGGATGCGCGGAACTTGAAGAGGTCCTTGCGGGCTCAGACGGCATGCAAAAATCCGCCGCCGCGCTTGTGCGGCATTGGTCTGTTCAGTGAACGTGGTTTGGGTCGCGGGTGGGTCGCTGGCTCTCCCCTCCACCTGGAAGGAATGCAAAAGCAGCCCGCCGCAGGCGCCCAAAAAATTAGTTTGTACACTGAACGTGGTTTGGGTCGCGGGTGGGCCGCGGGTTCTCCACCGGGAAGGAATGCAAAAGATGCCCGCCGCAGGCGCCGAGAAATGTGGTTTGTACCCTGAACGGGGGGGTGGTGGGGAATAAAAAAAAGACAACCGAAAAAAAATCAAAAAAGAAACACAGAAAATAAAACTTGGAGGAAAAACAAAAACCAAAAAAAAGTAAACAGGCTGGGGGGGGGGGGGGGGGGCGTGGGTGGGCCGCGGGCTCTCCACCTGAAACGAATGCAAAAGATGCCCGCCGCAGGCGCCGAAAAATGTGGTTTGTACCCTGAACGTGGTTTGGGTCGCGGGATGGTCGCGAGTTGGTCACGGGGTGGGTCGCGGGCTCTCAACCTGGAAGGAATGCAAAAAAAAAGCCAGCCGCAGGCGCCGAAAATGGTGGTTTGTACCTTGAACGTGGTTTGGGTCGCGGGTGGGTCGCGGGTGGGTCGCGGGGTTCGCGGGTGGGTCGCGGGTGGGTCGCGGGGTGGGTCGCGGGTGTCGCGGGGTGGGTCGCGGGGTGGGTCGCGGGTGGGTCGCGGGTGGGTCGCGGGTGGGTCGCGGGTGGGTCGCGGGGTGGGTCGCGGGGTGGGTCGTGGGTGGGTCGCGGGTGGGACGACGACAACAAACAACAACAACAAACAACAACAACAACGAGAATCCGCACCGCGGAATCCCATTTCAGCCACGCACCCATGGACAGTGAATGACCGTTCGGCCCCCTCACTCTGATATATACACCCGAGTGAGGGGGCCGAACGTTCATTCATTGTTCCTGGGTGCGTGGCTGAATCGGGGGTTCGTGGTGAGAATTCTGCTTGTTGCGTTGTTGTTGGTGGTGGTGTTGTTGTTGTTGGTGTTGTTGTTGCTTTGATTGCTGAACGCTCATTCCTGAAAAAAATTGTATTTATCAATTGAAGTGCCCCTCCCGGGGCTCGCACCCTGTCTTTTCATCAGGGAACGTCTTGAGGCTCAAACTGTGTCGTTGGCCCCCGGTTTACAAGAACAACGGCTCCCGCCTGATACTTCCTCACAATGTACTGAAGAATCGCGCTCTCGCTCGGGACTTCCTGGCAATTTACAACCGAATCGCGGCTCCCGCTTGACACTTCTTAACAATTAGCTGCAGAATCGCGTTCTCGATTGGGACTTCCTCGCAATTTACCACCGAACCGCTTCGTTTTATATTTCCTCACAATTTATTCAGATGCTGGTCCTCGACACTCAGGAATCGCGCTCCCGCTACATATTGCCTGGCGGTTCAAGCAGGACCCACGCTTCAACGACCCGCCCGCTCGACCCGCCCGTCGGGGCTGGCCCGCCCGACCAGCCCGTCAATGACTGCAGTCGCCGCTTGCTGCCCTTCGCCCGCCTTCGATGCCCTTCGCTGCCCCTACTGGTTCCACGATCGCTTTCGCTCGCTGCCCTTCAGGGCCCCGTTGCTGCCCTCAGTGGTTCCGTCGCTGCCTTTTGTGGCTTCGCATTATATGCCCTTCGTGGCCCACGCTCGCACACGCCCGTCGTGGCCCCATACGCATGCCCTTCGTAGCCCCGCTGTCGCCCTTCGTTGTCCCATCGCTGCCCTTCGTGGCCTCGTCGCTGCCCTCAGTCATTCCGCTGTCGCCCTTTCTGGCCCCGTATACGAATGCCCTTCGTGGCCCCCGCTCGCTCGCGCCCTCCGTGGCCCCATTTGCATGCCCTTTGTGGCCCCGCTGTCGCCCTTTGTGGCCCCGGTGCTGCCCTCAGCGGCCCCGTCGCTGCCTTCTGTGGCCTCGCATTCTATGCCCTTCGTGGCCCACGCTGGCTTTTCTCACGATTTACTTAGGAATTACGCTATCGCTCGAGACTTCCTCGCGATTCATGTAGGACCCCCGCTTCAGCAACCAGCCTGCTCGACCTCATTGCCTGGACCTGCCTTCCCGACCTGCCCGCTATGGGTCTGCCCACCCGATCTGCCCGTCTGGTTCTACCACATTTGTTCTGCTGCATGTCCCTTCTGCTAATTTCTCTCGTGCTCCATTATTCTCCCTCTGCCGTCCACCCGTCCTCTCTTCCCTTGTTTTAGGGGCTGCACTACATACACGTGGCAGGTAGGGAAGTTATGATCCAGGGTCGAGGGCCCACGGGCCCCCCCCCCCAGATGGTATGGTCCCAGGATTCCTCGGCCCCCCCCCCCAGATGGTATGGTCCCAGAGACGACGACGACGAAGACGACGACGACGACGACGACGACGACGACGACGGCGACGACGGCGACGACGGCGACGACGGCGCTGACGGCGACGACGGCGACGACGACGACGACGACGACCACGACGACGACGACGACAACGACGGCTGCCGCGGCGACGACGCCGGCGGCGGCGGCGACGACGACGATGACGACGATGACGACGGCGACGACGACGATGACGACGACGACGATGACGACGACGACGATGACGACGACGACGAGGACGACGAGGACGACGACGACGACGCGGACGACGACGACGACGACGACGACGAGACGACGACGACGACGACGAACCTCTGAACCACCCAGCCCCACACCAATCCACAGGGGGGGAGGGAGTAACGCAGCGAAGCACAGTAGGGGCATGTCGTGTTTAGTATGGACCATCAGGCGCGGGGGGCAGGGGGGGGGCCAATTGCATCAGCATTCGGGGGGGGGGGGGGGGGCCAAAACCCTGGACCAGATATGCCCACAAGGGGGTACGATCGAAGACGACGAGGGCAGGTACCGAGGGTTGGGGATATACGTATTGATTACCACGTGAGCAGATAGGAGCGAAAAGTCTTAAACTGATTGTTGTTGTTGCTGTTGTTGTTTGTTGTCGTGGTCGTCGTCCCACCCGCGACCCAGCCGCGACCCAACCCGCGACCCACCCCGCGACCCACCCCGCGGCCCACCCCGCGACCCACCCGCAACCCACCCGCGACCACCCCGCGACCCACCCCGCGATCCACCCGCGACCCACCCCGCGACCCATCCGCGACCCATCCGCGACCCATCCGCGACCCACCCCGCGACCCACCCGCGACCCACCCCGCGACCCACCCTCAATGGAGGAACAAACACCCGGACCCGACAATTGACGTTTACCAAACGGCCCTGGGCGTTTACTAAACAGTCCTGCCCTGTTCGATTCATTCCTTGTGTGCGTTTACTAGACGGCTTCGCTTGTCGGGGTGATTCTGATGGGGTGGACTTTCTGCCCTCTACATTCGCGACCTACCCGCGACCAACCCGCGACCGACCCCGCGACCCACCCGTGACCCACCCCGCGACCCTCCTACGACCCATTTGCGACCCACCCGCGACCCACCCGCAACCCACCCGCGACCCACCCGCGACCTACCCACTTTGGTTGAACGAAAAAATCGGCGCCTGCGGCGGGCTCGTTGCATAATTTGTGAGACTTTGGCGCTTGCGGCGGGCTTCTCCAGAGTCTCGCAAACTGCCGACGTCCCCACCGCCCCCTCACTCTTATCGGCATCTGCGGGGTGCTACGTACACATCATGTCATCTCGGAGTAGGCCGGGGGCGGGCC